CCCCACATGCTCCAAATTCACGAAAAATGGTCTTGTTTGTTTGTGCTTCGTTTGTGCTGGTATGTACAGGTAAAAGTTTCGTTTGTGCTGCTTCGATTTTTAAAATATTAGACATTGAATTATAAGCGATGACGTCACCAGCCCCCCCACATGCTTCAAATTCGCCCAAAACAGGCTCAATCGTTTGTGCTTCGTTTGTGCAGGTAAAAGTTTCGTTTGTGCTGCTTTGGTTTTTTAGATATTAAAATATTATTTAGTGATAATTCTGAGGTCACTCAGCCCCCCACATGCTCCAAATTTACCCCAATAGTCTCGTTTGTTTGTGCTGGTTTGTACCGGTATTTTTGTTTTTACTGTCATTTTTACCAATACAGTTGAAGTAATAAGTAATAAATTCAAACGGCAAACCAAATCACATGAAATAGTCGCAGTCACTTAATTGTTAGTAGCCATATTCGTTCAATTAGACCAATTAAACGAAAATAAAAACTAGGCCTATTTCATTATGTCTTTACATAAAAAAATAAAGACGATATACATAGGCCTATTTTCGTTTCAGCGCACAAATAAAACATGCAATAGCCTACTGTTTCCAGGTCCGTGTAGCCTATACTTTTGCATCCATTCGTTTTTCCTTTTTTAACCATGACGAAAAAAATGAAAAAAGAAGGATTGTTGTATTTTTAAATGCCATCCTGAAAACCAAATTTGAAATTAGAACCGTACACAAAATGCTGCCCGAAAAAGTAAAATAGGCTATTGATTTTTTTTAATGACTTTTTGCACCTTTAATAAATAATTGAAAAATGCACAAATTAATATAGAAACATTTTGATTTTAACAGGTTTTCTTTGGCCAAATTAGAAGTAGGCTAATGCTTCTCTTGCACATTCAGTTTAGAACTATATGTCTCTGCGCTAGATCATTGATGGGGAGCTGGGCAATTAATAGTAAATATGACCAAAACAGGGTATTATTATTATTATTTGTATATGAATAATAAAATCGCTATATATGCGCATGTCAAGTATTTGTGGGAGTATTATAGTATTACTATATGATATGGAGGCGCCCGCGCAATCTCTCCATTTTTTTTTTCCCTGCAGAAAGAACTTAGAATAGGCTACTCCGTCATTTTTGGATTTGCTTTATACTGTGGAGATGGCCATCAGCGTTGACTAATCTGTTGACTAGGAAAAAATCTTTAAAAACGAGTAGCGAAAACGAAAATATTACCAGCACAAACGAAGCACAAACAAACGAGACTAGTTGGGGTCATTTTGAAGCATGTGGGGGGCTGAGTGACCTCTGAAAATGGACATTAAATATTATTTTAATATCTTAAAAACCTAAGCAGCACAAACTAATTTTTTTACAGCACAAACCAGCACAAACGAAGCACAAACAAACGAGACTATTTGGGGTGAATTTGGAGTATGTTGGGGGGCCACTAAATAATATTTTAATATCTAAAAAACCGAAGCAGCACAAACGAAACTTTTACCTGCACAAACGAAGCACAAACGATTGAGCCTGTTTTGGGCGAATTTGAAGCATGTGGGGGGGCTGGTGACGTCATCGCTTATAATTCAATGTCTAATATTTTAAAAATCGAAGCAGCACAAACGAAACTTTTACCTGTACATACCAGAACAAACGAAGCACAAACAAACAAACCTATTTGGGGTCAATTTTGGAGCAGTGGGGGGCTGAGTGCTACATCACTTTTAGTCAGCTTTGAGAAACTCCTCTCAGCTAGCACGTCTTTTCGAAGTGAAAGTAGCCTTGTCACCTGACCTGAATACAGCGCGCTGATTTAATTTTTTTTATCTATCCCACAAGTCTTGTAAGTCTATGTATTTTATTGTTATTATTATTGGTAATATTTTTATATTCGTTGTTATGTATTTGATTTTTTTTTTACCTTCATTTCGATCTCTTTACTTAACGTTCAGGGCTGCGTTTCCCAAAAGCATCTTAAGCCTAAATCGATTGAAGAACCATTGTCATCATTTGAAAACGTTATTATTTTGCATATATATGTGGCATTATTTTGACTCCATACAAAACCGGCTTTTTTTGACTAAACGTGTGTAGGATTCAGATCGCGCTATATGTGGAGAATAATGCACGCAATCAGCTCTTTTTTTTTAAAGTGGCGTTTATCGGTTTTTGCAAATGAACTCTTCATATGTTGTTATGCATGCCCACAATATTGATTCAAACTCTTGTGTGCAAACTACGCAGTGGTCTATAATGCGGTTTTGTTCTCTTGGCAAGATAAATAAATTTACATTTAAGGATTTTTACACGATTGTGTCTTTCTCCAATTTCCTATAAGCGTTCAATGTTTAACCTGTGTGGCACTTAGTCCTCCAAGTTAAACAATCAATCAGTCCAAAAATAACAGTGTAAATGTTAAGCAATACTTCTGATTCTAGGAAGACATATCAATATTTATGCCTAGGTGCAAAATCCTTGAGTGTCGTTCTGATCCATTTAGCTGTGAAGTGATATTTACCCATTTCTCCTCCTCCATGGAAACCATTTACAAGTGTGCCTGTGACAAATCCACATCTGTCCCATAAATCACTTACCACAGTCTGCAGGAAGGGGGAAGGAGAGACACATTTACCTTCAGCCCTGGATTGGATGCACAAACACATGCCAAGAGATGGAAACTCTAATGGAGGGAAAGTCGGAGCGTTTCTACCTAGCTGCAGAAGACCTTTTTTTATCTCTGCTTTGTTCGTTTGGCAATTGGTACAACAAGTCGGGTCGAGCTGAGCTTCACATACGTTCTTCTAAGTTCTCTAACTCCTCTGAAAGCCCAGCGGAGATGTTCGCGCACGAGTGGCATGGATTCATCCCTCCCTGCCACATGAAGGTGCTTCAGCTGTGCCCCATTTTGGCCTTCCTGGCCATTCTGCTGATCACCCCGGTTCTTCTAGTACGCATCCTGTCCCGAGTTGACCTGCGGCAGCAGACTCGTTACCTCCTCCTGGCCAATGTTCTCTTCAGTGACCTGCTGTTTGTTTGCATGAATATCCTGAGTGCCTGCATCAATTTAGCCGGTGTGTTGATGACGGAGTGGCCATGTGCCGTGCTGCTCTTCCTCTCTGCAGTTTTATACAGCTCTGGGGTACTAAGCATTACAGCAATGGTACTGGATACCTGCTTTGCAGTGTTAGCCCCCTTTCGCTACCTGGCACTGTGGCCTGTGTCACGGACCTACGGAGCAATTGTTGCCATCTGGGTCATCTCTGTCTTTCTTCCTGCAGCAGCTGTTGGCATGTTTTTGTGGTACCATAGTACGGCCCCCTGCGCCCTCCACCTCTGCTCCCTTCCTTTGCTGATGGTTTTGACCGTAAGCCACTTTCGCCCACTCCATGTCTCCATGCTGCTGACGGTCACAGGTATCATTTTCATCCTCCTTCTAGTGTTGTCTGGTTACCTCATCCTCTACTTTTGTACCCGTAGTTCGGGCGTGTGGAAGGGCGAGACCTCGTCTCGTGCTAGAGGAACATTTCTCATCCATTATCTCCACCTGTTCCTGGCTTTCTGTCCCCTGCTGGTTTTGATGATCGAGCTGATGCTTTGCCACAACAGTGAGACTATGGACCCCAAAGCAAGCCTGTGGATGTCCTTGGTGGTGTGTAACATCTTGCTCATCCTGCCCAAAGCCTTAGCCCCGTACCTGTATGGGCTCCGCTATAGAGAACTGTGCAACTTGCTGTTCCAGTTCTTTCATCTGAATAGGCCAACTACTATCACACCTGTGATATAAATATGCTTATTTGAATTTGTGAAAAAGACTTTTAAAAAGGTGTTGCTGAACTTTTCACCAACCAGTTAAAACTACCAGTTATAACATAAAATTAGCTGTCTGTAATGATGCTCAACTGGGGTTTTGTAAGTAATAATATGATGTCACAAAAATATTTGAGAATAATCAAAAATATACATTCAGCAGTTGTGGTAATGATGGCATTTATTGTGTTTAATATGATATTGTGTATTTACTTATGGTATTCACTATGTATTTTGGTTAACGTACTAAAAACTCTATTTCTAGCCTATCAATAAAAACTACAATAAGTCAGCCTTCCCAGATACTTCTTCAGTCAGAAGCACCGTTATAAATATACATAAGATTTACTACTGTAAACCCTATCTGAAATAACTATGAAGCTTTACAAATGTTGTAAGAGGCTGTGATAATCTCTCGTTTTGTTTTATTTGTTGATTACATCGGTGGCTTAAACCAGGTTACTAGGCCTTTATTTTATCGTAGAAACAATACTGTAGCAACTATTGTATTTTGACTGAAACGAATCTATGTAAACTATTGTAATTTCGTGATAAACCGAGCACCTGTATGTTAAAATGATTATTATACACATTTGCGTTTTTTGAAAGATTCCTGTAAAAAAAATAAAAAAGAATAAAACTTGCCAGATAAGTAACTTGCTCCCTCATTGTGCTCCCTCTCCTACCATGTGTTCGTCTGATTAAAAGTTTACAAATGTCACTGCTGCTGCAAATTCGATTCATATATACATTTTCTAATGGAAACCTGATCCAGAAATACCTATTATTCGCTATTATTATAATATGTGTAATTAAAATAAAAAAATGCGCGCGAAACACCGGTAGGATTAGTTAAAATAACCACAAGATGGCGCTATTGGCGCCTTTTAGTAAGGATGATTTCGTCTAGTAGTTTTATGCTGGCGAGTTTTTGTAAATTATAATATTATACTAAATCAAATAGTTTTTACTTAATATACTGTAATTAATTTACATTTTATCATTCACAAATAATACTTTAATTATGTATGCTTCTGATTACACAAGGGAAATCAAGTTTCTAGTTACGCGTCACGTTTTTTTCCGTCTCTCAATCTGTCCGGAGAACTATGTTTTTTTTTTTTTAATCAAGGCGTCGTTCTACAGTTACATAAGGAAAGGGAAGCAGTGTCAACACCACCATTTTATTGAACTGTACAAAACACGTTGTACATGTAAAACTAGCAATACATTCTAATCTAAATTCTTTGTTCTTCATTAACAAAATAACATAACAATTTAACATCAAGCAACACTATTGGCTTTGGGACCGTTGAAAAGGCTTTTGAAGTTTGCCGTGACGACAATATGACACAAACTGTCTTCGTTCATAATCGGGTTTTTGTTTGCAAACAACGACCAGCCACATGGAAATTCTCCCGCACTGAATTCTGGGATATGATATTCTTTTTTGCTGGTTTGAAGGAATGATGAAACGGCGACAGAACTACATTTCCCATGAACATATTTCCCTTGAACAGCTGACATAAACAAGTTCAAAGCCTGTGTGTGCATTCTTTGTGCCAGAACACGCAGAGAGCGACTATGAGAAGGACGGTAACAAAGAAAACTTAACAGTGACAGCACAAGTGCTCACGCTTATGGATCTCTTTTTTTATTTTTAGAAATAACCGGATTTGTTTGTTTGTATTTACTTTTAAGGATCTTTAACCCTTACTATTAAATTTGATGTTTGGCAGAAAGTTGGTCTCCTTTGGATAAGGTGAGAAAAATAATGCTGAACTTTTATATGAGCAATTTCAATGATTGCGATACGATTGATTAAGAATTAGCACTCCAATATTATTGCCATGTTTGTTTATGGCGCTTTTTCGTATGTCTAAATGTATATATCTAAATATGTGCTTATATCTAAATAATGTAATATATAATGTATATAATATACATACACATATTTGCATATATACATGGTGTGTGTGCGTATATAATACAGTGCTTGAAGTGGAAAAAAAGAAGTGCCGGTTCTCTCCAAAAAAATAAAAATACAATAAATAAATATATAAACGTTCATAATTCCAAATGTATATATATATATAATATAATATAAAATAAATAAGCACCAGTTAAGCTGCAATACCAAACAGGACCACAGGGACTGCATTACTACTTATTACTAATGCATTCCCTTACTGGAATCTTGAACTTTTCAGAAGTTTACCGGTTTCAAATGACCTCCTATATATATATAGCTTTTTCATACAATTTATTTTAATTTTCTGCATGTGGTATTGAGATAATTTCTGCTGGCAGCTCTAAGTTTTGAGACTGAATGTTTATTCAGAAACTGCAACTGCTGTAAATCTCTGGTAGACTATAGTAGATCACCTTGAACCTGCAACAAAACAGCTGGGATGGTTATTGAAACATAATGTCTGGACTAGGTTTCACCCAGCCTCTAACAACTAATGACTTTTTAGACCAGCTAAAAACCAATTGTCATCTTAAACTGGATTTTTCTGCAGGCTGGTTAGAAAGATGGTCTCTCTAAACACTTAGGGATTCTTTCTCTGTGGTTTAAAGCCTTTTATGGAGTAGAAATCACACATAATTCATCTCATTTATATGATGTCATCATTTCAGTCCGCATGTGGCATGTTTTGCTGTAAAACCGTTTCAGCTGTGGAGGAAATATTGAGCAACCATCCATGTTCTTTTATTTCTACTTCCACAACAAAACAAACCTTGTGACTTGAAGTGACTTAAAAAAAAAAAAACTGCACAAACTCTCCCTCTTTCTCGCTCACTCACTCACTTTATCTCTCAGCCACAAAGAATCAGTGTTCCTTTTATATCAGTGCACTATTGCCTTGAGGAATAGCTTTTTTTTCTATCTTTTTTTTTTACCAGTCACATGTCTTGACATATTTCAGTGTGCTCTAGTAACCTTCTCAGATGTTTATGAACTCAGTGCCTTTGTTTTCTGTGATGATTGTGCAATAATTTGCTTTTCAACCTAAAACGTTTATATTTTTAATTTTTTGCTTTTTTGATTTTGATTGTCATGACCCTTGGTAGGCTATAACACTCATAATACAATTAAAATAACACTTAAGTTCACATTTTCCTTAATATAATTAATAATAATTGTACATTTATGTGTATATTATTTAATGATTTGCTTTTGGTAACAAATCAAAATGGATGGTTTTCAGTTTTTCATTAAAATATATTAACTTTTTACCTCTGAAATGACTTTACTTTTCAACTGATTTTCAACTAGGCCACTCAGATGGGGTACATAAATTTAATGTATTGGTCAAAATACTATTTAAGCATTGTTTTTGGCTATCGTTATATAAGTAAGCTCCTTTTTTAAAATCCCTGCTCAATAATCTAATAAAGATATATTAGCAAATAATGCTAGATTTGCAAAATACTTGTTACTATTGAGATGCTCTTGAGCATGAACTTGACCTTTAGCTTCCACGTCTGGGTCAAAATGCCTCCTTGAAAGTGTGAGCCTGGCCACATTCTTTATGAAATGCCACAAGGTCAATATTTCCTTCACAATTTAGTTCTCTTGAAACACATCTTAAACAGGTCTTTGGGTTTACCTGAAAATTACAGACTAGTGTGTTGCAGCATAGATAGTAATGCTAATCTCAAGAAGGTGGACCTCCAGAAATGTACTGAATACCACTAATGTAGTGTTTGTTTATTGTAAATGCTGTTCTTCTACAGGTGTTGATGGTCACCAATCCTTTTCCTGCAACCATTGATAGTGATTGTTTATTGGTGAAGGGCTCTCATCAGATACAATCATGGTGCTCATTCTGGGTCGCCGTCTGAATCATGAGAACTCTGGTGGTGTGCCAGAATCACCGGCAATCAAGCGTAAAGTCTTTGAGATGGAGTCTAAGACCCTGAACGACGTGTACAACTTCTCTTCCGGTTCCTCTCACTTTGAGAGTGTCCTTCAGGTCTTCAACGAGTTCCGCGACAGCCGCCTCTTCACGGACGTGATCATAAGCGTCCAGGGTCGCGAATTCCCATGTCACCGTGCCGTGCTGTCGGCCTGCAGCAGTTACTTCCGTGCCATGTTCTGCAACGACCACAGAGAGAGCCGTGAGATGCTTGTGGAGATCAACGGCATCCAGGCTGATGCTATGGACACGTTCCTGCAGTATGTTTACACCGGTCGTGCCTGCATCACCACCAACAACGTCCAGTTCCTCTTCGAGACCTCCAGCCTCTTCCAGATCACCACACTGCGGGATGCTTGTGCAAAATTCCTGGAAGAGCAGCTGGACCCCTGCAACTGCCTCGGGATCCAGCGTTTCGCAGACGCCCACTCTCTCAAACAGCTGGCCAGTCACTGCCGTGCTTTCGCCTTGTTGAATTTTCCAGAAGTTGCTCAGCATGAGGAGTTTCTAGACCTTCACAAGGATGAGCTGCAGGAATACTTGGCCAGCGATGAGCTGTCCATTGGCAAGGAAGAGGTGGTGTTTGAGGCGGTGATGCGTTGGGTCTACCATGGCGTGGAGTACCGCAAACCCATGCTGAAAGATCTACTACAACATGTCCGACTGCCTCTCCTGCACCCAAACTATTTTGTACAGACGGTGAGTGGTACATTCAAATTAATTTGAACAGGTGGAGAAGCTCTTTATTAGTTCATCGAATCCAGAAATGCACTGCTGAGATGTTTACAGAGTGCTGCAGAGATGACATATTTTTATAGGCCAAACCAAATGTTAGCATCACCTTGTTCCTTGAAAGGGGGATTTTTTTTTCCATTGGCTGTTGGATTATTGCAGAAAATAAGTTCTGTGACCAACAAAAGTTTATGACTTACAAAAGTTTAGAAGTTGATGTAAAAGTTCATACTCGTCTTGTTCGTCATGATAATCTTCACAAATGAACACAAGAAACATCATCCCTGCAGCACTCTATAGAGATCAAAGAATCATAAAATCA